TCGCTCGAGTGTAGAAGCTGAATTCAGAGGTATGACACTTGCACTTTGTGAAACATTGTGATTAAGATTTCTTGCGGGATTTGGGTTATCTACCTGGGCAACCTATTCGACTATATTGTGATAATAAAGTAACGTGTGATATTGCCTATAATCTAGTTCAACATGATCGTACGAAGCATGTCGAAATAGACAGATTCTTCATTAAGAAGAAGTTGGATGGGAAAATTGTGGAGTTGCCTAAGATTCGATTTGAGGATCAACTAGCCGACGTTCTCACCAAAGCAGTCTCAAATCAAGTGTTTTCAAAATTTTTAGACAATTTGGGCATGTGTGACATCTATGCACCAACTTGAGGGGGAGTGTTGAGATTTTATCTCTTATAGTATAGCTGTAGGATTGAATTATTTACTCCCTGATTTAGGGCTAATTGGTAAGTAATTAGTTACCTATTCTAGCTACATTCTATTCTATAAATTGAATGTAACACCATCAGAAAAAATATCGAATATAATTTTAATTCTTGTATTGGTTCTCTAAATTTCAAGATCGGCATCCATGAACTCCGGTGAGAAGCTCTAATCATCACTGGGCAAACTGAAGATGAATTCAATTGAAGATCTACAACGACCCATCCATTCTAGCAAGCTCCGAGTAACGATGTCCATTGAAACCGGCGAGCCCCAAGTTGCAGTGTAATTAAGACAGCGAAGTTGTGTTGATCCAAATCCATTGAAGTCGGCTAACATCATAACCGGTGAGAAGCTCAAGTTTGAACAGACCCAACGACAAGCTCCAAGCTACCATAACCCACTTGGCGAAGCCCAACAGTCTGGTGAGCTCCAGCAAGGAGTTAAGGTTTCAGAGCAGTTTCGATGAGCTTCACAGTTCTCACTTCTGAGACCCAACTGAATGTGAGCCATGCTTCTCTATTGAATACCAAAACGAGACCCAAACCGCAAAAACAACCGCTGAGCTTAATTCTTGTACACATCAACTGGTGAGCTTTATTGATATATTAGCCACCCAACAAGTGAGAGCCTCAGCTTCACATACACACATATATATAGAGTGAGTTACAAATATATAAAAATATTTATATATATCGTGAGCGATATATATATGGAATGAGCTTAACAGAATCTATATATATATATATATATATATATATATATATATATACATGAATTGAGTATTTTAGATATATACATACTGACATACATTGCTAAACTATTGGCAAGATTGGGATGAGAGTTGTTTGTTGGGAGGACATGTTTGGCGCTATAAATTATTGCTCAGTCATTGTTTAATTTGTTTGGCGCCTTTTTGATACACCCGAAGTTAATGATAAGGTTACTTTGGCTAGATGTCACTTCTTTATTAGTTCTGGAGATTACATAACCACATCAGCTTCCAAACAACAAGGGTCAAGTGCAAAAACACCCCTCAAGTATGCATATAGTGCATATAACACCCCTCCTGTGCAAATAACACCCCTCAATTTTCAATTTGGCGCAATCAAGTCCCTCTGGCAAATTTAAAACTAAACTTGACTAAAATACCCTTAGTCAACAAATTTATAAAATATATAAAAATACAAAATTTTGTAAAAAGACCAAAAAGGACAATAAACAGTCTCATCATGTGCCTCTCACGCACCACTTCTTCTATATACTCCCTCTCCCTCACCTTCACCGATGCGAACCAACAACCTCTCTCCCAACCTAGAAGACTCAATGACCACTGTTACCCAATCACAATTAGATACACTAGCACCAATGAACGATGATGACAACGAACCCACCGCCACCCTCCCGTCGTTAGCGACGGCGCTGCGCTTGTCCCGATCACCGCTGTTAATGCCCATCCGCGAGGACTACTGGTCTGAGGACGCTACTCACACTCTTATCGAAGCCTAGGGCAAACGCTACATCGAGCTCAACCGCGGCAACCTTCGTCAGAAACACTGGCAGGACGTCGTCGACACCTTCAATACCCGTTAACGCCATGTCAAAAAGGCTCGCCGTACAGGTATCTAGTGCAAGAACCAAATTGACACTCTAAAAAAGAAGTACAAGATCGAACGGCAACTACACCAGCCAGTGGCCTTTCTTTCTCGCTCTCAAATCCCTAATCGGCTCCTCCTACAAGCCCTCGCCGTCATCTGGCCTCACCAGAAAACATCGCCGAATTTTAACACATTCTTATCAACCCTATTCGCCATTGTTTAATTTCTTCTTCTCTCCACCGCTTCACCTACAAATTCAACACAAACAAAACCCAAATCCAAAAACCATTCAATACCCACATGGATTTAATCAGATTCCAAACAAACCCATAACATACATTTGGGCACACACATTACAAACAGAACTTTGATAAGACCCACTAAAACAAAACTAAGAATGAATCAGCCATCACCACAAAATCCCCAAATCCAAGGACGAATCAGCTATCACTACAACCAAAATTTGCAGACAAGAGAAAATTTTAGAGAGAGACAAAGACAAAAATGCAAGACCTAACGCTGGACCGCCATTGTCGACGCCGCCGGAGTCCTTGGCATCACTTTCGACGTCTTCTCTTCCATTATAGTCTTTTGATTTGAAGGCAGAATTAGCCGAATTCCAACTCCCAGCAGTGGTGCTCCTCCGTGTACTGCTCTATCATCTTCGTCGTCGCCACGCGGGATCTAGTCACCATGATGGGTCGCCTGTTGCCGTTGTCTCCTGCGCTTTCCCCGCAGCCGTCTCTTGCGCCGTTGTTGGTGGTGGTGGTGTGTGTATATATATACCTGTATATATACCCAGTTAGTGTGTGTGTGTGTGTGTGTGTGTATGTATATATATATATGAATGGATGAGATTGATGTGTGTGTGTATATATATATGTATAGATAGATATACATGTGTGTGTATATATAAGGATGCGATTAATGGGTGGAGTTGAGGGGTGAATTATGGTATGAGGACGAGGATGTAGTTGAAGAAGAAGAAGATGGTGGTGGGAGGAGTTGGAGGCAGAGAGTAGAGAAAGAAAGATGGGTATTTTCGGAAGACTAAAAGGGCAAAATAGGCATTACAGCACTAATTTATATCAAATTTCTGACAGAGGGGTAATTTTGCACAATTTTAAAAGATTAGGGGTGCTTATTGCACACTTTTTCAAATAGGGGGTAAAAATACTACAAAAAGTATACTTCAGGGGTGTTTTGTGCACTTCCCCCAAACAACAAAATAAAACCATTCAGGGGTGTTTTGTGCACTTCCCCCAAACAACAAAATAAAACCAATACGACGCTGTTCAAGTAAGGGCTAAACGGTCATTTCCTTTTTCTGTTAACACTACTTGACGGATGATAATGGCATGCAACAAAATGATAATCAAAGAGGGTTTTGCTTATTTCAAGAGTTTCTTACAATGGGGTCATACTATAGAGGGGTTTAGTGCACTTCACCCCCTAATTAATAATCTTACTGTATCAACTCACCTATGCAATAAAAATGTCTAATTTTTTTCATTATTATTTATTAGCTTAGCATAATCTTTTCAGTACTTCCAAGTAAAATAGGCCAGGAAAAACAAAAGAAAATATTAAATATGGCCTCCCTCTTAGGCTTAGCCCACTGGGCAGACGATAAGAATATCTCTAACAACCAACAACATATAATTGGGCCCAACAGGTTTTGTTAAGTGGATGCTAAGAGTTGGCTCATTTGGAAATCACAATTGATTTGTGTTTTTGTAAAAAATTGTTGTAAGTTAAAAAAAAGTGAATTGCTAATTAAAAAATTGTTCTTCAGTTTTTTCTTTTATTACTTCTTGATTTGTTTGTCTTTGTACGGCGTTTATGCCTGTGTTTGTAAATGCCATATTACTGTTTTTCTTCTTGTCAGGAAAAAAAAAAAAAAAAAAAAATTAAAGTTTTAGTCGAAAATGTTGTACGGCATTTTAGAGTTGTTTTTTTGTTTTCTTTTTTTTTTTTGGAATAGCTTCAGTACTATTCAAATTGTAGCAATATTACCAAACATGCTTTGTGCTTCTGTTTTGTAAAAATATACTGAAAGAAGCAAAAAAAAAAAAACACAAACCAAAAACGATTACCAATAAAACCTTTATTGAAGTCCCTGACTGCACAAGCACAGTCCTAGTACAGCGGGGGTTCAACAAACATGGAAGCCCAAGCCAAAAATTCTAGAAGAGGCTTCTTTGAATGATGATATTGTTACTAATATGGATAACATTAATATTAATTCTCTCTATGTTTTATTTAAACTTCATTATTTCTATTTTTGATACCAAAAAGACAAAGACAAATTGAAGGAAATTTGAGATTTTATACCAATGTAATTTTTTTTGAGAAATTGAGGAATACTTCTAAAAGTGTAATATTTTATTATTGGACTTAAAAAGGAAAAACTAGTATAATTTTCACTTAATTATATGATAAAATTTACTCTTTGTATTTGAAAATATTTTAAACCTTCAAATCATGTTGAGCTAAGTTAAAAAATGAACCTGAGTAGTGATTTCTTTATTGTTTTGTACGGTTGATTACAGCAGCGCCACACCCATTTATCTCACACACACATATTCTTACTCTTGATGGAGTTGGCGTACTTGCAATGGTTAACAAATAGCAATGTACTTGCAAAAGATTGTGCAATAGGAAACAGTAAGAGCCCTGCTTAGTCGTTGAGATCGATGGAGAAGTGGTAGTGAGGGGACATGGCTGTAAAGGTGCATTATATTTATATATGTCTATTATAGATTAAATGAGCTTATTATAAGCAGAATAAATTTAGCTTATTTGAACAAAAGCTTCATGACATGGACTTGAAGTACATAAACATGCAGAACAAAAATATCTCCTCACACGTACAGTACGAATTACATGTAGATGATCGATAATAATTTATTAATCAACAGAAGACTAAATTATGAGTAATAGTTGCAGGATTAGGAATCTCTAGCGCTAGCTGTGTCTTACATTGGTGGCCGGGTTAAAGCTTGAAACGCTCTTGAACGCAAGAGATGTAAGTTGCAGCCTTCAGATCAACACCTTCATCTGCAGCCACACCATAGAGGTTGTCAAACTTTGCTGCATACGAGTCATGACCAAAATCCGGTACTACAAATGAAACATTTGGCTTCGGCTGAGGAATTACACGCTCCTGATTCACAATGAAACCGACGGAGGCTGTCGATGGAGAGGAGTAGTGGCTCGGCTTATATTGTGGGGTAGTTGAGGAAGGCTTGGCTGCCTTATAAAATGACATGGCCAGCTTCCCTTTCAAGAACCCTCTTCGCTTGCTTCGGTTACACTCCATTTTCAACTAATTTGAGTACTCACAAGTAGCTAGTAGATGTATATATTTTGAGTTATATATTCAGTAGAAGGGAAGGTCTCTATATATAGTAGTTATTGGCTAGCTAGCTAGTGTCGTGCTGGAAGGGCCGGGCTTAAATTCGGATAGACATGAAGCCTCTGGATAGTGTGTACGTGGTCCCTCACTTAAAAAAATATCTAATAGAATCAAATATATATGATCACTAGCTACCTCTTTTAAATCCAACACTTTATGGCTAAGATACCCTACAATTCTTTATTAAGAGCTAGCTTTTTACATTTTCCAAAGATATGGAAAACTTGGATTCCGTACCATTCTAATAAACCGATCGAAATTAAGTTGATGTGGTAGTATTTTTTTACTACTATATCTGTTGTCATGTGGCCATAGGTTTGAGCTTGTTCGTTACGGTCGATAGACAGGCATATATATGTACATATAGTATACCCACACTATTGTAAAGAGAAGGAAACCTATTCCAGGTTTGGCGAATAATGGATCCCACTATAAGGAAAAACTGTAGACAGAACAATTTCTTTTCCTTTTATCATTTGTTTAGTCTAGCTTCTTCATAATCCCAGACATATGGGATCTAGTACCCTCCTCTAAAGTCCAGTCTCATTGGAAAATTTCCATTGCAATTATTTTGCAGTGATGGGAGAACAATATAACACTTTTTCTTTTGTATTATTCTTATTTTAGAGTTTCTATTATATATGTTCCTATAATGTTACGTTTGGTGTGCAAGAATGGAATAGAATGTAAGTGAGAATGGAATGAGAATAGGAATGGAATGGAATGGTCATTCTCATTTTATTGTTTGGTTGTAAATATGAAATGGGTAGGAATAGAATGATAATAACCATTCTAGTATTTGGTTGGACCAATTTAAAATTTAGAATGGAATAAATTTCTAATTGAATTCTCCAAAATATCCCTCTTAGTAACAAATAAATTAAATTAAATTAACAAAATGATATTATTTAATAATTTTTTAAAAATAAATGGTGGCAGTGGCAGTGGTGGATGGTGGAAAGCGGTAATAACGTAAGTGGTGGTGTTGGAAGGCGGCGGCGGTGGCAATGGTGGAAATTGGTGGCAGTAGTGGTGGTGGAAGGTGGCAGTGGTGTTAGTGGAAGGCGGTGGCAGTAGTGTAGTGGTTACGGTGGAAGGAGATAGTGGTGTGACTATGGTGGTGGTGGAAGGTAGTGGAATTGGTGGTGGTGGAAGGTGGTGACAATGGTGGTGGTGGTGGAAGGTAGTGGAAGTGGTGGTGGTGGAAGGTGGTGACAATGGTGGTGGTGGTGGTGGAAGGCGGTGGCGGTGGTGGTAGTGATGGCGGCGGTGGTGGTGGATGGCGGCGGCGGTGGTGAAAGGTGGTAGCGGTGGAGGTGGTGGAAGGTGATGATGGTGGTGGTGATGGAAGGTGATAGAAGGTGGTGGCGGTAGCGATAGTGAAAGTCGGTGGTGGTGAAAGGCAGTGGTAGTAGTGGTGGTGGTGAAAGGCGGAGATGATTGTGGTGGAAGGTTATTGTGGTTTTTGGACTTAGAATATGAGAGTGTTTTGGGAAGTCAATTTTTTAAAATAAATTACTTGGGAAATGGAATGACCATTACATAGGTTTAGTTGTGGAATGGATTTTCATTCCAATGGAATGGTCATTCCCACTTTAAGTTGCATATCAAACAAATGAATAGTTGGAATGGGTATTCCATTCCATTCCTGCATACCAAACGTAGCATAATAGTAATAAAGTAATGATACTTGCACCGATTTGTTACAGTGAATTACTTAACAGAATGTTTCTGATATGTTATTTATGCACAATATATGTAAGTGAAGGGCCCATTCTTTTATTTATTCTATTTGTTGTAGTAAATTACGAGACCTTTTTCTTTTAATTAGTCTATTTATGCATCAATAAAGAAGTGGGGCCCTCCACTCACATGTATTGTACATAAATAATTAATCAGAAATATTCGGTTAAGTAATTACTGCAACAAATCGGTGCAAATATCATTACTCATAATAATAAATGATTGATATTAGGGCTCCCCAATTATCCTCTCCATTCCTTTTATTTCTTAAGATGAAATTACAAAAGAGCCCCCATATCACACCATATTTAGTTCTGATATTTTTAATACCGTAATTGCCCACCACATAAAGGCATGAGTTTTAACCTTTCCTACAATTTTATATTAGGTTCAATCCCCTATCTCTTCCTATACATGGGACTCTTTTACAATTTTGGAAAATCTTTTACAATTCTAACTCCTCTAACTCATTAAATTTGACGAAGTTAAGCGTGTATTGATTGGCATGGCTAAAAAAAAAAAAAAAGAAAAAAAAAAACTGGTTTTAATGTATAATACTCAGTTTTTAAATTGTTGGCAACAAAGTAATTTCGAAATTCTTGCTGAAATGACTTGCTCGGATAAAGAACTTATAGGATTTTGAGTTGTCAATCAAACCATTTCTTATGTAATATAGTAAATTTTGTATACTTGTGAATTCATAAATAAGCAATTGTAAATTTTTAAGAGATCATTTTCATGTAATTCATTGTTTTTGTTTAATTTTAATATGTTATTGTATATTTATTTTATAACTCAAGTTCTTCATTGAGTTTTTTTCTAGTAATTTTCACTTATTCCTAGTTGATCGTTTCTTTATGGTGTTGGTGTTAGGATATGTGTGCCCTAGCATAGCAAATTCTAATTTTGGATTGTAAAAGTCATGATTTCTTATTTGGATATTATTATTAAAGCATTATACAATTGGTGAATGGAATGTATTATTTTTCGATTCTTTATGGAATTGATGGTGTCTGCTTGATTACAATATATATATATATATGTATGTAATGGCAATTAATACTATGATATAAATTAGTAATCATAAATGGTTTAAAGTCGGTAATTATGGATGGACATTTAATTAGTTAAGACTTAAACCGAGTCCACGATAGATTGAGATATATTGCGAGAGCTGTCGTATGCAATTGCTCTCTATCACAGTCATGGCTTTTGACTATCAAGCATGAGAGAAGTATAGACTCTTTTATTAATTAATAATTACTTTGATTTGTTCGGCGGATACCTCGGGATCCTTAGATCGACACTTTGGGTAGTTATGTAATTAATAATTAGAGGTCTATATTCTCAATATTTGCATCAGTGCTATTTGTATTTATTTTGTTTTGATTATGGTTGATCACAAATTAAATTCGAAGGACTTCGTATGTTTTAGACAAATGTTTTCTATATATATTTATTTAATAAATTATTATTATTTTTTGTTAAATAAATATTTTATTGTGATCGAGCCGGAAATAATCAAAGGTAACAAAATAGTTATATTAATTATGTTGTCGGATTGATGGCTTTAATTATCCGATAAATAATTAAGCATAGATGGGTTAAAATGCAACATTTACTTAGAGGTTATTTACTATTTAATTGGAGTGCAATTAATTTCTTTTAGTGGAGTAGAAATTAATTTATGAATTAATTGAATTGGGTCCATGGTTTAATGGACCGGACCAATTATTAATTTATAGGAGCCAAGAAAATAGTAAGCCCAAAAGGATTCTCACCAATAGCCCAAGTTGATATTGGAGTCATGTTAGGATTGAGAAAGTTGAATTAGAGATGGAGAATGATTTATTGTTTCCTTATTCTTATTTTTATTTTGCCTATATATACACGAGTTCATGTATATTTTAGGGGTGACTTGGAGAACAAGAAAAAGGAATACACTTTCTCTCTCTAGATTTTAGGGTTTTGTTTTCTCTTCTAAAGGAGGCTACCACCAGCCTAGATTCCAAGATCATTCATCAATGCATATTGGTGATTCCTAAAGGGAAGATAATAATCGAACGGAAGGAAAAAGGATCTTGCTAAAGGGATCTACAATAAGTGAGAACATTCACTTTAGAGGAAAGTTCAAAAGGTTTACTCAGACCTTTGATGTAAGTATTCAATCTGTTTATTGAATTATGCATCATCTTTTATTTATCTTTGCATAAAACTTGTCTCTGTGTGATGAATCAAGATCCGTGATTGCAAATCCCTCAAAAAGTTTTAAAAACTTGCACGTTTCCCAACAGTGGTATCAGAGCACATGGTTTGATTCATTACTAGAGAACATGTGTTTATAAAAATCATATATAAAATTATTGATATATGTTGATGTATGATTTATTATGTTGATATATATTAATACATGATGATGTATGTATAATTGTGAATGGATGATGATGTGTGTTTGGGTCATGGATGAAGCTTATAGGTATATAGAATGTAATTTTATTTTTTGGATGAATGTAATTAAGGCTTTGTTTTAGCCGTTTGAAAATTCAATGATGTAATTTAATTTTTTCCATTGTATTTCAAATTGTAAGTATTTATTAAAGCCATGTAATATTCATCAAAGGATGCTATGAAGCTTCAAGAGGGTCCGAAAGGGTTAAATTATGCTTCAGTAATTTTCTGGAATTTTTCTGAATTTTTCGAGAATTTTTTGAGGCTTAATTTAATTTTCTGGGATTTTTTCGGATTTTTTGGAATTTTTTCGGCATTTTTCCGGTGGCCGGAGCTTCGCCAGCGACGAGAAGGAGCGTCGGAGGTGGCCCGGATCAGGTGTGGCATCAATATGGTGAGCCTGGCGCGTGTTCCACACGCGCTAGGAGAATACACATGCTGGCGCGTGCATTGCACGCGTCAGCCAAGGCAGCTTGCCCTCCACGCGCGTGAAGGCGCGTGGAGGCGCTTCCCACGCGCCCCAGGCACGTGGGAGCGCGTCCCACGAGCCCCAAGCGCGTGCCGGCGCGTGGGTGCACGTGCCGAGTCTTGCAGCCTGCCCTAGGCGCGTGCCAGTGCGTGTGGGGTCCTCCGGGCTCGTTCCAAGCAGCGATTTGCTTCTCCTGACGCGTACAAGCTTCCTATGGGTGTTTCAGACAGTTGAAGGACGCCCG